TTTGTCATAAGTACGATGGGCAGTGGCAATACTCGTCCGTAGTACTCGCCAAGTATAGTGAAAACTTGCTCGTATGGTCATGGGGCTGTGCGAAAAGTTGCATCCATGTATAATTGTTGACATTGATCAAGCGCACAAAGATTTCTTCAAGTGCTGAAAATAGCGATGCCCCAATCATTGTCCTGATGTAGCAGGAACTGTTTGTTTCTCCATGATTGTGCCCAGGAACCTTCGATGTTGACGTCGTCGATATCTTGGGGCGTGTCGGGCACTTCAGCCGATTTCACCCTTGACATTTGTGACCGAACGGATTGGAAATCAGGAATTTCTTGATCGGATCCGCCAGCCTCTCTGTGAATTGCTGAAACGTGCTGGTCATAAACTCGCTTTATTGGTCTGGTTGGATTGTCTCGTACACTGCCTTTGGCATTGTTGAGAAAGATTCCTCTCTGTATAACGGCATCGTCTTCTTCGTGATCATGCTGCTCTCTCTCCACCACTCTAACATTTGGATCATCATTCCTGTCGAAGAGATTAGTCTTTAGTTTCGCGCCGCAAGTTGTTCGCCAACATCGCCAATGCATCGTCGATTGACTCTGTCGATTAAACTGATATTTAAAGCCGTCTTCAACTAGAACCCTTCCAATGCCTCTCGCACCCGTGATTATTCTAGCCATCCAATTCGACTCGCAGCGTACTTGATCTTGATCCTAAACTAAACTCGACATTCAACTGACTAAAACTGTGATGTTACAAGCTTTATATATAAGCAAATTAAAACATCGATACTATAACATGATTGGCCGGATTGCTTGTTGAAGTGTTATAATTAAGAGTTGATGTTACTGTTCATCCAAAAGAGAGAATGACTAAGAATAGAAAGCCTATAAGTCCTTACAAGCCAAGTAAATTACATTAACACAACTTTCATAATGTGCCATGCAGCTTAGTCTCAGCCGGAATCTTTGTAAAACTGTTATAAGTAAGAGTTGCTGTTATGGTGTTACTGCTCCTCTAAAGAGAAAAAGCCTAAGAATAGAAGCCTGAGTCCTTACAAGCCAAGTAAATTGCATTAACACAACTTTCATAATGTGGCATGCGGCTTAGTCTCAGCCGGAATGTTGGTAAAACTGTTGTATGTATAATTAGAGTTGGTGTTATGGTGTTACTGCTCCCCGAAAGAGAAAAAGACTAAGAATAGAAAGCCTAGGACTTTACAAGCCAAGTAAATTACATTAACACATCATTTTCATAATGTGCCATGCAGCTTAGTCTTAGCCAGAATCTTTGTAAAACTGTTATAAGTAAGAGTTTTGGTGTTACTGTTCCCCTAAGGAGAAAAAGCTTAAGAATAGAAAGCCTGAGTCCTTACAAGCCAAGTAAATTGCATTAACACAACTTTCATAATGTGCCATGCGGCTTAGTCTCAGCCGGAATGTTGGTAAAACTGTTGTATGTATAATTAGAGTTGGTGTTATGGTGTTACTGCTCCCCGAAAGAGAAAAAGACTAAGAATAGAAAGCCTAGGTCCTTACAAGCCAAGTAAATTACATTAACACATCATTTTCATAATGTGCCATGCAGCTTAGCCGGAATCTTTGTAAAACTGTTATAAGTAAGAGTTTTGGTGTTACTGTTCCCCTAAGGGGAAAAAGCTTAAGAATAGAAAGCCTGAGTCCTTACAAGCCAAGTAAATTACATTAACACAACTTTCATAATGTGTCATGCAGCTTTGTCTTAGCCGGAATCTTTGACCTTGGTAAACTGTTATAAGTAAGAGTTGGTGTTACTGTTCCCCAAAAGGGGAAGAGGTTATGGATAAAAAGAATTAAGATTTTTGGCATCTCACTCGATAGATCTAATTGTAGACGGACATTTTCGCGCACATTTTATCCGATTCCCTCCAAACGTTGCCACATGATATTGAACAAACCAAGTTCTTGAAAAGTATGGCACTAAATCAAAAACGCGAACGCGGTTTTGCTCCTGTACTATTGTTAAACATCATGTGACGAAGTTTGGAGGGAATTGGATAAAACGTGCGCATTTCTTGACTCTTTTGGGGGCAACAATTTGAGGATATTTCAATCTTTGGCTCTCTGCTACCATCTGTTAAACTGTAATCAGATTAAAAATTATTAAGGTGTGTAAATCAATTGGAAGGGTTTTCGGTGTCATTCACTATTATCAGTTTATCACAAACCGTACATGCAAGAAACCAGACAAAAAAAACTTGCTAATATGCCGGCGAAACACAAATGTAAAGATGGCATATAGGTACAGAGCGATCTAAATCGGCCAAACGAAATCTTTGTGGTGCACAGAAGACTTACCATGCACCACAACGACATAATCGAGGTTGAAGGTCACACATCCGGTATCGAGTATCACATCTATCCGCATATTGTCAATTACAATTACAACTTTCGCGGCAAAAGAATCGGTGGTTATAACATATTTTCTATATCTCAGTCACATTTTAATATTTGGGAAAAAAACCTGCGGTAATAGAGAGATCTCCGGCCTGTGTATATTAATCAATAAGAATGTAAAAGTGATGAAATTATTGTTTTCATAATGTGACTGTTCAATGACTATCGGAGGCTACACGAAATCTGGCCTGCCTATGTTGCATTTTTTGCAACTCTCCTATTTTTGTCTAACAAATGTATAACATTTACATTAGAAAATGCCCGTCTACAATTAGATCTATCGAGCGAGATGCCAAAAATCCTAATTCGTTCTATTCATAACCTCTTCTCCTTTTGGGAAACAGAGACGCGAACTCTTACTTATAACAGTTTTACCAACATTCCGGCTAAGACAAAGCTGCATGACACATTATGAAAGTTGTGTTAATGTAATTTACTTGGCTTGTAAGGACTCAGACTTTCTATTCTTAGGCTTTTTCTCCTTAGGGGAACAGTAACACCAAAACTCTTACTTATAACAGTTTTACCAACATTCCGGCTAAGACTAAGCTGCATGGCACATTATGAAAATGATGTGTTAATGTAATTTACTTGGCTTGTAAGGTCCTAGGCTTTCTATTCTTAGTCTTTTTCTCTTTCGGGGAGCAGTAACACCATAACACCGACTCTAATTATACATGCAACAGTTTTACCAACATTCCGGCTGAGACTAAGCCACATGGCACATTATGAAAGTTGTGTTAATGCAATTTACTTGGCTTGTAAGGACTCAGGCTTCTATTCTTAGGCTTTTTCTCTTTAGAGGAGCAGTAACACCATAACAGCAACTCTTACTTATAACAGTTTTACAAAGATTCCGGCTGAGACTAAGCTGCATGGCACATTATGAAAGTTGTGTTAATGTAATTTACTTGGCTTGTAAGGACTTATAGGCTTTCTATTCTTAGTCTTTCTCTCTTTTGGATGAACAGTAACATCAACTCTTAATTATAACACTTCAAAAGCAATCCGGCCAATCATGTTATAGTATCGATGTTTTAATTTGCTTATATATAAAGCTTGTAACATCGCAGTTTTAGTCAGTTGACTGTCGAGTTTAGTTTAGGATCAAGATCAAGCACGCTGCGAGTCGAATTGGATGGCTAGAATAATCACGGGTGCGAGAGGCATTGGAAGTGTTCTAGTTGAAGACAGCTTTAAATATCAGTTTAATCGACAGAGTCAATCGACGATGCATTGGCGATGTTGGCGAACAACTTGCGGCGCGAAACTAAAGACTAATCTCTTCGACAGGAATGATGAAGATCCAAACGTTAGAGTGCTGGAGAGAGAGCAGCATGATCACGAAGAAGACGATGCCGTTATACAGACAAGAATCTTTCTCAACGATGCCAAAGGCAGTGTACGAGATGATCCAACCAGACCAATAAAGCGAGTTTATGACCGGCACGTTTCGGCAATTCACAGAGAGGCTGGCAGATCCGATCAAGAAATTCCTGATTTCCAATCCGTTCGGTCACAAATGTCAAGGGTGAAATTGGCTGAAGTGCCCGACACGCCCCAAGATATCGACGACGTCAACATCAAAGGTTCCTGGGCACGATCACGGAGAAACAAATGGTTCCTGCTACATCAGGACAATGATTGGGGCATCGCTATTTTCGGCACTCGAAGAAATCTTTGTGCGCTTGATCAATGTCAACAATTATACATGGATGCAACTTTTCGCACAGCCCCACGACCATATGAGCAAGTTTTCACCATACTTGGCGAGTACTACGGACGAGTATTGCCACTGGCCATCGTACTTATCACAAATAGGGCTATTGGCCATTATAGGCAAGTGTTGCAAGTTATCCAGCATAAAATTCTGCATGCGACTGGAAGTGAATGGGAACCTGAGGCAATTGTATGCGATTTTGAGCAAGCCCTAATCACTGCTATCCAGACGGAACTACCTAACACCAGAATAGAGGGATGCTATTTTCATTTTAACCAGTCTCTCTGGCGCCATGTCAAAGACCTTGGTTTGACCCAGGCCTATCGAAAGCGTGTGATGAAGCTCATTAGAAAAGTAATGTCCATCGTTTTTTGCCAACAGCCATCATGAGAAATAACTTTGCATTACTGCGCACAGAAAATAGGACACAGCGATTGTTTAGCAGATATCCAGGTTTGGTGGAGTTTTTCAACTACGTATTCAACAACTACATAAATGGAAACTTTCCTGTAACTTTGTGGAATGTGTATGATCGTGACATGGATTGCCGTACAAACAATCACGCTGAAGGTAATTGCAGTTGATTTATCAATTATTGAATTCGGTTTTCGCATGATATGTAGAATTATCAAGCCGAAGTTTGTGTTATCGACGTAGCCTAAGGTTGAGCTTAGTAACACGAACCGGAACAGAGGTCATGATAATTCTCCATATCAGTAATTGTTTTATTATTTATTTAAATGATGGAACAGCCAATATATTTACGTGTATTCACAATTCTTCAGTACTTCGACAGTCCTCATGACGGCACTATTTGTGTTTGAGATGGCAGCAAAAAGACGAAAGTCTGATATCTCTAAAAGTGATTCTTATTAAAATCTTATCGTTCATGTGGGCGTGATTGCTAATGTGTTTCCATGACAACCATATAAAAATAACAATTATATTGAATCAACTCTGAGATACAAACAGACTTTCATCTTTTTGGTACCATTCCAATAACTACAAAAGTGGCAGCGTAACTCAAGACATGAAAAAACTCTATATTACTGCCTATTTATATTCATGCACGTTTGTCCACGTATATATTACTTGCAATTGTTCAATTTTAGTGGTTTTATTATTAAGGCTTTCATCGCGTTTGGAACAACCGTGTGCAAGTACGCCATCCCAACTTGTGGATCTTTATAAGGCATTTGAAGGATCTTCAGGCTCAAACCAATCAAGGCATCCGTTCTATGGATAACGGTGGGCAACCCACACGAAGGCGTCGCCGCTGGCAACGGTTGGAAAATCAACTTCAGAGATTGAAGACCGACTACATCAATGGAGTCAGAGATGTTCAGAGTTATTGGAATGCAGTATCGCATCTAGTAACTACATTTTAGAGCAATTCGAGCTGGGTCATATCTAACATGCAGTACCATGACGTCATAATTGAATATAAAATGTCTATTATTACATTACCTTTTTTCGCTTTAAGGTGGCTCCAGACAGTTTTATGAAAAGTGGAAAAGACACATTTCAGACCAAAAAATTTTGTACATTGATATTTTTATAGAAGAATGAAACCAGATGTCATGTATATAGAACAGGACAAATTTCAATGATGAACCGTAACAATCAAATTTCACGTAGCATCCGTAGTCATTGGTCACATTGACTCAAGTTGTGCATTTTTTCACATACGTATACACTCGGAAAAGTTTAAATCTTTCTAAATAATTGCTTAAAAATACACTTAAAATCAAACACAAAACTAAATGCTATCCTTTTATTCATTTAATTATTTCTCAAGTGGACAAAACACTTTCAAGTGGATTTAAATTTTTCCGTGCGTGTATGCAGGTACGAAAAATGCTTAACTGCGAAGCAGCCAAGTTTAACACGTAATTGTAATTCAAAACCAGCGTATGTTTTGGACTAGCTATAGTGAACCTTCGGAGTAGTGAACCTTCGGAGTAGTGAACCTTCGGAGTAGTGAACCTTCGGAGTAGTGAACCTTCGGAGTAGTGAACCTTCGGAGTAGTGAACCTTCGGAGTAGTGAACCTTCGGAGTAGTGAACCTTCGGAGTAGTGAACCTTCGGAGTAGTGACCCTTCGGAGTAGTGAACCTTCGGAGTAGTGAACCTTCGGAGTAGTGAACCTTCGGAGTAGTGAACCTTCGGAGTAGTGAACCTTCGGAGTAGTGAACCTTCGGAGTAGTGAACCTTCGGAGTAGTGAACCTTCGGAGTAGTGAACCTTCGAGTAGTGAACCTTCCGAGTATGAACCTCCATTTCACTATTTATGCTTTTGCTTCTATTCCTGTGAGACTTTTCACTAGAAAAAACTTTCTCCTCCAGTTCGGAAATTTGTGACTTTAAGGTAATTTTAATGTTAATTTTGTAATTTTAACTTGTTCAGAAAGTTTTTCCAACAAATTTACCATTTCCGATTTGATCTTTTCTTTAAAAATGAAAAAACCTGCCTCCATTGTAACCAAATTATCATTAACACACTTCTGATATGGAGTAGAACTAGGTTACCTGCAAGGTAGGGATTGCTGCGAGCATTTTAGGGTCCAAGTAAAATGTTACATGAAATACAAGTAAACTGAATCCGTTTTTACTAATATATAGGAATAGTAAGTTTCAAGAACGTATTAAAGTGAATTAGGCCAGGGGCAAACATCGAACTTTTCATGCGCCAAACCTAATGTTAATGAGCTAAGTTGCAAAGTTTAGTAGAAGTCCAAAGGCAAACTTAAAAACACATGACACATGCAAAGTGTAGTAGAAGTCCAAAGGCAAACTTAAAAAGCATTCACAAGTACATAGTTTTGCAGAAGAAGGGTGTTTTCCCTCTTGTCAGAGTACAAAGGAGAGGACCCTGGCTTGCGAGGTGCGGCTAGATCTATCAAATCAAAGTCTTTAGAAACAGTTGATTTTCAAATTGTTTCAACATTATACGAATCCCAATAGGAGTAATAACAATAATAGTAATATTAATAGTGGCCTAAGTGTTTGTCTTTATTGTAGAGTCCATTAAATGTGTGGCTCCTTGTAAAGAGTAACAAAACAGTAAAATATATTGAACTCTTTCTCCCCTTTAGCTTACAACTTCCAGTTTAACAGAACAGAACATGATAACATGAATGTATTTGTCTTTCTTTGATGTTAAGTTCATTGAATCTGGTTTGCCAAACATGACATTTGCCATTAGACGCTGGATACATTTTGATTTTAGCTGGGCCATTCCGCACTCAGTGCATTTGGTAAGGTTTTTTGTTGGATCAAGCACCAGTTTAGTTTGGCATTTTTTACACGACAGGAACCGTTGTACTGATAAAATGCCTTCGGCAGGGCAATCAACTTTCTGCGAGTGTGGTAGACCATCCGCTTCAGTGTCCACACTATCTATAGAGGTATCCGCCGGCTTGATAATTGACTGCTTGTTTAGGGTTAGGTACTTTGCGTTATCAAATTCTCGAACAACTATCTTTGAGATGTTATACACAGACTTTGAGATAACCTGTGTTATGTCACTTTCCCATAGCACAAGGCGCATTGTCCCCGAATTGTCGGTAAATATGGCTTCTTGCTTTCGGAGTGTCTTGCCTTTAGAAAGTATAGTCTCTTCCGCAACATGGAGGGTAATCCGCCCGCATACATTGATAACAGCGTTGGGACATGATAAAATCTGAGACTGCAGTGATGCCGGGTTTGCATTTTTCTTCCGATTCTACCTTCCTGATGTCGAAAGTCACCTCGGATTCTTGTAGGTCTTCCAACTTCGATCGCTTGTTGATGTGAATTTCATGCTGATTAGATCTTTGATTTCTTTCTTCAGACTTTGACGTGCGAGGACTTACCAATCCTAGATCCCGTTCTTCGTTTAATGTTCTGTATCAGAACGTCAGAAGTCTGAAGGCGAATCATCGTAACCCTACAACTAATTGCGTCGTGAATAAGCTTTCATATCTACATGATTGTTTATGGCAACAGTGTAGATGTGATTGCTTTGGTGGAGACTTGCCTCACTGTCAATGTGCGTGATGATGAAATCTTGCCTGTTGGATACAAGCTATTTCGGTGAGATTGTCAAACTGGTAAACAGGGCGGTGAACCTTCTGGCTTCGTTTCAGACTCATTGGAACTTGTATCTCTGGTTATTATCTCCTCGTCTTGTAAAGTACTTGTTGCTGTCTGTTACCATCCACCTGACTCCACTAATGTTTTTCTAAATGAACTAACCCGCTTTTTAAAATTTGTCCAAGAATCGCAATTCAAAGATGTTCTAATTGGCAACTTCAACTACCCTAATATCCAATGGTCTAACGGTTCAGGTTTCTCTACTTCAGCTTCTGAAACTAGTTTCATTGACAGCATCACTGAGTTTAGTTATCTGCAATTGATTAACTCACCTACCTGTGGTAACAACCTCATCGACCTGGTTTTAACTACAAATGAACATTTGACCGACAACTTTGAAGTTACTGATGACTCCTCCATCTCTCTACCCTCTGATCACAAAGCTATCTTTTTCGACTCCATCAACAACCTAAACAATCCTCCGAACGTGTGGTCTATAATTATGCTAAGGGTGATTTTGTTGGCCTATTTAACAGTCTAAGGAACACTCCACTAGTTGATATAGTCCTCAACAAAAGTAACAACGTTAATCTTGCCTGGGCTAAGTGGAAGGATGCTTTCCTTGCCGCTGTTGACCATTTCATCCCCAAAACAAAGCTCAAGCGTCTTTTAAACCCCCATATATCACCAAGGACTTACTTCACGCCATTAAGATGAAAGAGTCACTAAGAAGAAAGGCAAAGGCTAAAACCTCGCCTGAACTTTGGAAGAAATTCCGCAAAATTCGGCAACACATCAAGTGTTGGATAAATTCCAAGAAGAGAGAATATCTCTCTGGTCTGTCCGAACATGTGTATAATAACCCTAAGTCATTCTGGAGATTCTTTAAATGTAAATCCTCGAAATCTTCGCTCCCTGACATGATGAAGTTGGAAAGTCAGAAACTTTTTTCTGCAAAGGAAAAAGCGGATGGCTTTAACCAATTTTTTACGTCAATCTTCACCTCCGACACTAGTTCTTCACCTCTTTTCACTCCCTCTAGTTCAGCTTCTAACTCTCTTGACTCATTAAATGTACCTGAATCCGATGTTCAGTCTTTGTTGTCCAATTTGTCACCCTCTAAGGCTACTGGTCCTGATGGTATTCCAGCTTACCTTCTAAAGCGATGTTCTGAGGTAATTGTCCCTTCTTTGACTGCTCTCTTTGAGTTATCTCTTCAGCAGGGTGTTTTTCCTTCTGAATGGAAAGCTGCTAATGTCGTACCTATACCCAAAAAGGGTGACACTCATGAGTTATCTCTTCAGCAGGGTGTTTTTCCTTCTGAATGGAAAGCTGCTAATGTCGTGCCTATACCCAAAAAGGGTGACACTCATGAGGTCACTAACTACAGACCAGTTTCCTTACTCTCTCAAGTCTCAAAAGTTCTCAAACGTTTAATTTTCAGTCAGGTTTCTTCTTTTGTTGAAAACTCCTTGTACGACCTTCAACACGGCTTTCGTTGTAAAAGGTCGTGTGTTACTCAACTTTTGAGTGTACTTCACGA